ACCAGCCACTCCACCTGCCCCCACCAGGCTTCTGTGCAATCACAGGCTCCTAGCACCGATCGTGGCCCCACCTTCCAGCTGCTCCCTCCACCCATGCCAGGCTTCCGTCCCGTGCACAGCCGGAAAAATCAGAGAATACCGGACATTGCACATGTCCAGTATTCTGATTTTTTTTAATGGGACAAAGCACAAATACCTGACTGTCTGGTAGAATACTGGACACCTGGCAACCCTAGCTATAACTAGTTACCAAATGGCTGACTGAGGTTATCTATTTTGCCTCATTCTAACTGCTTATCTTCAACAACACTGAGCTTAAACTAGATACTGCAGCACCTACCAATGAAGCCAGGACCCTTACACAGGTGTAGAACAAAGTCACCATTGGTGACAGTTGCCCTGAAATGTACTTTACTGATGAACGCCATGCATTATGTCTTATCGGTTGTATGAGGCCAAGTGTGAGTAGATTCTGAACTACTGACTATCTTGCAGTGCCTACAGCAAAGTGTTTTGGGAGGAGGAAATTGTAGTTACAACATCTTGTCACTCAAATGTGCCCAAAATTGGAATGCTCAAATTCAAGATCCACTCAGTGTGGCTGGGCTGGTCCAGCCTGTGCTCAGCTGACATCATGTAAAAAACCCTTGCCAGGCGGAACCAGAATTTCCACAACCTAAATACAGACCTTTTCAACAGACCTGAATTCCTTCCCTGCTTCACATACTCTCGCAAGTATTTTTCAATTCTGGTTTTACACTGTCCTCTATTCCCGAAGTGAGAATCACATCTCTTTGCCTGCTTCAAATCAGTCAGTCAACCCTTTGCAGGGGCCACTTTATAATGGATTCACAGTTTTAAGGCTAAAAAGGTATTCTAACTTTCTGCATAGCACAAACAGTAATAGAGAGCTTTCAACTGCTCTAAGTGAAAGATTTCTTTTTTTTTGGCTATATAAATGATATATTAGGTGCCATTTGGCAGAAGAGTATGAATTTAGGGGAAATGTCTGTTGAAAGGGAATGTAAATTAATAAGAGAAAAAAGGCGTTTTTGATCTGTGGAACTTAAAAATGGCATTAGTATTAGTGACTATTCATATAGATTATGACTTTGTTCTATACATAGAAGTTACTTCTAAAATCTAGAGGGCTCTGAGTTGTAGGTGGACTCCTTCCACGTAGAAACAAGAAAGAATATTTGATTTTCACGTAGTTAGCTGCCTGCCTTTAGTGTAACACACCATCTTTATTAACTCACTTAATTTAGCTTTTTCACTATGCACTTATGGAATGCATCACTTTGTAACATCAATTCATACATCTTTCACATTACCCAAGATATACAACATTCCCATGCCTCCACTTAATTAACCCGTATTTGTGAACTGAATACCACATTTGTTAGCTGTAATATTGCCATGTCTTACATCATCACATATATAATATATGTCCCTTCCAGGTTTAATATTCTATGACTCTATAAGCAGCACCATCATAATACATACAGGTGAGGGAGTTACAGCTTTCCTGTCAATCTCAGATTTGAGTTTCTAAATATTGTAGATTCCAAGTCTCAAGTACAATGTGCAATTGATTTAAGGTTTCTCTTATGGAACATACATGACTCAAACATTTGTAACTGTATTACAAGTAGATGGTAGCATTGTATTGAAATTCCTCTCAGAAATGCTACTATATAATTAATAATCCATCTGTAAAGGAAAAAACAAATAAAAGGACATCAAAAAAGCAAAGAAAGTGAGTACAGGAGAAACTTACTTCACCGAATGAGACTGAAAGAGGATGTTCTCCATTCCAAAGATTTCAGAAAAAGAACAGAACGAGGCAGGAAGAATCAGAGAATAATCTGAAGAAATAAACGTAACACCAATTTAACCAGGAACAGAACTATGTTTTCTTCAGGAGACAGTAAGCTCTTACATTAACATTAGTCTGCTCCTAAGAAGTTCTGAGTACCTGCAGCTCCCAGTGGAGTGAGAAGCAGTTACCACTGTTCAACAGCTCTCAAAAAATCAGGTGCAATATATTTCACCTTGAGTGAGGTGTCAGGGATCACTTGGGCCTGTCTAGCTATACAGTAGAGTCCCTATCATCCGACGTAAACGGGATCGACACACGGTCGGATTACTGAATATGTCGGATGATAGGGACTGCTGCCGGGGAAGAAGCGGCCCTGGCAGAAGCCCCATCAGCTGCTCCTAGAGAGCACGGGGACAGCTGCTGCTGCCAGGGCCGCTTCATCCCCAGCATTGGCGGCAGCAGCAGGAGGCTGGCCCCACCGCCTCTACAC